CACACCCTCCCCCCCCCCCCATCACCTCTCTTTATCCATCCTCCCCTACTTTTTCTTAATACAGTCACGAAAATGAGAAATTTTGGTAGGGGGATTTGTTATTAGTACTATCACGTCATCTTGTAATATCAGTTTCACAGCCATGTATTGATTTGGGGCTAGAAGTAAGTAAGTTGTTGAAGTAATTTCTTGACGTAACGTTGTCATCCATTCATTGGCCAGAACATATTGAGGGAGGTAAATAATTAATAAATCCAAAATCAAACAATATGGCAGAAAATATTCCTTTACTAACCGTATAATGCATGTGCAGAGAATCTCCTTTTGCAGACTTTTGTTTGCAGTCCTTTATTCTCTTTTTAATGCCGATTTGAAGTTTCTTAGTCTTGGCTTTCTTGTCTGMTTTTGTTTCCAGAACGAACAGAGCCAAGATGACTACAACCAATGATACAGTTAAAATACGCATTACTCTTAACAATGTTCCAAAACCAGCAAAATGTGCCAAATAATCTGATGTTCAATGAAAAAATAGGTTCTTTTTGGGAGTAAAAAAATTAGGAAATAATAATGTACTGTTCTGATCGGAAGAGTATGAAAAAGAAAGCGCTCTTTAGAAGGCGAAGCTGAGTAGAGTCTGGGGACTACTTACCAGGAATTTGTCTGCTCGGTCAATAAAATGAACAGGGCTCCCAGAGCCCAACCGAAGATGCCATTCAAGTTAACTGGTTCTCAATATTTGTAATGTAAATCTCTAGCATCCTGAAGGGCTAGGGCTGTCATGTTCTGTACACTGAATTTTTGATAAACACACAGACAACCATACTGGCTCTTTCGTGATGTTAGCTCCACACACACTATCAGCACATAATATTTACAAACAGTACAACATGTAGATGATGGCTAGTAAACACTAGCGTGGACTGCGTCGGTGTTCCTAATGAAACAGTTATCGTAGAATGATAAGTTATACACCGTAGTGAAAATAGTAACTGACGTTTCGGACATTAGTCCTTCGTCGGAGTCAATCAATCATTGACTCCGACGAAGGACTAACGTCCGAAACGTCAGTTACTATTTTCACTACGGTGTATAACTTATCATTCTACGATAACTGAAACAGTACAACACTCAACTCACATTTAATTTTTACCGAGGGAGGAAAACTGGAGAAAATCCTTTGTGGCAAAAGAGAACAACACATCAAAGAAACTTACAACTCACCAAGGCAAGCAGTTAACCACTAAACCACCCATAACAAAGCACATGTGCCGAGCTAAAAGCTCAAAGACTCTGATGAAGTTTATTATTGTTTATTATTACTGTACACATCACATTTTTAATTCCAAAGATAGACATCTAAACAGCAAATAAATCACATAAGATATCATCTGCCAGTATTTACAGACTTTTAAAAGCAAGCACTGCTGTAATATGAAAAGCATAAGAGTAATAAAAATGTATTCAGAATACATATTTCTTTATAGAATCTCCCAGTCATTACTCCTAGTATCAGTGTGATTTCATCATTCATTAAATAAACATTTAAACTACAGTAGGAATGTGCCATAGTGTTTAACTAGAATATTCAGTATCCACTAATAACTATACTATTTTTTTGAAACTTTTAAGAACCCAGCACTACTAGAAAAGTATTTTGCATTAGCATCTGCAACTTTCTTTTCTGCGGCATGAGGATTCACAATTTCCAGGCCTTGCATGGGAGTAAATGCAATACTTGAAGCTGTACCAGAAACAGAACTTGCAGCACGCCGCACAGTTGACTGTCCCCCATATGTCTGGCTCTGCTGTAGACTCCGCTGTAAAGATATATAATTATAATTAGTGATGATACAACAAAATAGTTGTAAGTAACATTAACAGTAATAAGTGATAGAATATAATTATATAAGTAATAATGATAATAAAAAGTGATGATAATAAAATACCTGAAGTCTCTTTGATACAGATACTTGTGTCTTTTTATCTACAGCAGGGGTACGCACACGCCCAGTGTTCTCTTTCCTTCCTAATGTTCCAACAGAGAACCCCAAATCTGTTTGATATACATCCTCACCAATTTTGCCAAATTCAACTCTGTTGGCCTGTCGTCTCATTTCTGTCACAGCAAACTTTTCCTTCATCTTTCTAACTCTGCGACCACCTCTTTTCTTCCTTGGGGCATCATCTGGCCTCGGAAGTGCTTTAACTTCTTTAATTGGAGGAGGTTCAACCCACTTATCAAACTTCTTTTCAATTTCATCTTTTAGTTCTTGACCTGTGGCACCATCAATGCTCTCATGGAAACTATCAACTCTTGCTGCAAGAGAGCACTTGGCTGCAACAACTCGAGCAGCTTTCCTTCGTAAATCTGGTGGCATATTCTATAGATGTAGAGAAAATAGTAGCTGATTAAAAATTTAAATTTATTTAATGTTGATTGCAGGGAGTGATTGGTCAGTCCCCTGTACCAGACTCTCATGTTTAGGCTTTCAACATCAGGTTGAATTGGAATTTAATACTTGGTTTTTACAGAGGGAGGAAAACTGGAAACTGGCTGACAGCTGTCTTACCTGAACTATTTCACTGTAATAAATGAACCCAGTATGTGGCATTGCCGCAGCACTCGAAAAACCAGACAAGGTTCTTTTCTGTGCTCCTAGGATAAGTACATTACAAGCTGGCATCTTGGATAATGCTGTCAAACCGCCTGCTGCACCCATCAGTTTTGCTGCAGTTGAAGCACCAACAATTAAAGAGAGGTTAGGAGCAATGAATGTCATTCTAGATTCTACATATTCAAGAATCTTAAGCTTTGCATCAAGTAAGTCTGTCACCATCTGACAAGCTTCAGCAAGCCGTTCCACTTCATCATCTTCAAGTTTTTCTCCTTGCGTTGTGGATGCAGTCACACTTATTACCATTTTTGTAGCTGGTGGTAAGACATCTGTCAAGTCAACCTTTGTTACTTCTAAGTCATTTCCTAAGAGTTCCACAGTTCGAATGTAATCCAATGCATGTGGCACAAGGGACTCCAGCTCTGGGAATCGTTTGGAGTACAAATCACGTAAATATTTATGAATAATATTAATTTCATTATCTACTTCTGCACTCAAGTTATTAGCTTTAACAATTAGTATGTACTCAGGGTCGACCTCTACAGGACCAAATACTTGGTCACGTGACTGGTTACTGAACTCTGTGATGCTACTCAACACACTTCTTAGTTCTTCACTGTCTCTTAGTTTAGCCACGTAACAAACAGATCTGGAGCCTAAATCTCCAGTGTCTGTTGTCTCCATAGCTTCCTCGATATCATTATCATTGTCTCTGTAATCAATATCGACTCCTTCATCTCCTGCTTCTTCCAAATCAGCCAATAGTTCGTCAGCCAAAGACATTTTGGCGCTGTTTTAACACTGTTTTCGGGGTTCTAAAGCCACGCAATGCTTACAAAAGTTACAACAGCTTAAGGGGTCACAGTAAATATAGCTGCTTTCCAAAAACGTTGACAAAAGATAGCGAAAACTTAGAACGAAAGTCTAAAAACTCCTGAAAATTGTTCGTTTCTTTTACGTCTGATCGCGTGGTTACTAAACTAGACTTTACTGCGCATGTCAACCAGTATCAGACGAGCCTGCGGTGTATTTGGCCGCGCAAGAAACGTTTGGAAACGTCTTCCTTCGTTTACAAAGAATTCTGTATTTTATCTTGAATAATCTTGGAGAAAACGATGACATCCTTGTAAGTATTTGAAAGACTATGAAATTACGGGCATATGTTATTGTCGCTGTTGCATTATTTTTAATTCATGTAGAATATTCTTACAGGTTTTCAAACTTTTTCCGGTGATGGTCTACTTTGATTGCTTTGCGCTCATTTGCCGCTTGCACCTTCTGATAAACATGTTTGGCTCGTGTTTGCGTAGCTATAAGTAAATCATGGCATATTCGAGCTTCATAGTATCGAACTTTCCTTCGTTAAATTTGAGCTTATTATCTATTAGTTAACTTGTCTGAAAGTGAAAGTAGGGTGATCGTCGTAATTTACCTTAGATCTTCGGTAAGTAAATCATTTGGAAGAGCCGTTAGAATATTATCGATTTTTAAAGTTCTTATAGATTTGATAAACTTATTGAATGGCAATATTGACCTTAAAAAAGGTTTCTTATGATGTGCCTAGTTTCATCACACGGACTCCCTGTGGTTTTATCTAATGTTGACCTGATCTGATTTTTTCTTTTAGACTGAACAAACCTAAGTCAGAAATGACTCCTGAAGAACTTGCACAGAGAGAACAAGAAGAATTTAATACAGGACCTTTATCGGTACTAACACAGTCTGTAAAAAACAACACCCAAGTACTTATCAACTGCCGAAACAACAAGAAACTACTTGCAAGAGTTAAAGCATTTGACCGACATTGCAATATGGTACTGGAAAATGTTCGAGAGATGTGGACAGAAACACCCAAATCAGGAAAAGGAAAGAAAAAGGCAAAGCCTGTAAACAAGGACAGATACATTGCAAAGATGTTTTTGCGTGGGGACTCTGTAATCCTAGTCTTGAGAAATCCTATGGCAACGACCAAATAGTTTTTTCTTTGAGCAGACTTTGTGATATATCTTCCAACCCTGCCAGAAGACAACACCTTTCTAAGAGACATTGGTGGTCCTAGGCTACTGTTCCCATGTTCTTTCACTTTTTTATATTGAAAACAAGAAATTCTCATGTTTTTTTCTTCTTGGATGTTGACATGAATCATCACTCTAGCATCAGTGTAAGCATAAACATTTTTGTCCTTTTTACTTATCAAACAAAAAGTGTGGAGAGCCACATGTTGTACATAGAAGCAATGAAATAATAAAATACAAGAAAAAGAAAATACTTTGGTGTCCTTTGAAAGCATTATAATAATAAATTATAGCCCCACTTGGTAGATCTGCTGGCATCCTGTATAATGATAGTATTTATTCCCATATATTTAAACAGAATGTTTAATTTTAGGGAAAGCCCATGACAACTGATCTTGGATGATAAGTCTTGTTCTTTGCACGAGAATTACTATGGTCAGAATTCATTTGTCGGGTTGAGGGCCACAGCAATTGAAATAGTCTTTCAACTTGGACCTTCCATCAATATTTCTGGCTGTTACTTGRAACTGAACAGCCACTCCAATGGCAACACTCACTCCCCATGCAATAAACATAGGTACAGCTGCATCATGAATAACAAATTATTAGTTAAACCATTAAATCTTGAAAATATTGATACCTCTAATAATGAATGAGACATTGATTAGAGGGGGTTTTATCTGGATGAATACATACCATCAGGTGTGAAGCGCACAGCCATGTGATCTGGTATCTTGGCTCTGTATGACCAGTTACTCATCTCAGACTTGACCCCATCTTCTACCACATCTTTTATTCGAAGTAGAAAACTCTCCACAGTGACAGAAAAACTGGACCTTAAGAAGTAATCTACACCTGAATTGATTGGAAAGTTGCAGTCAGAATGGTAAATAGTTGATATTTTAAACCGGTTCAAACGCACGGGCTCGGTTTTGCATTAGAATTCCAGACTTAGGGCCGCAGCAAAACCTCTCCCTAGCGTTTGAACCTCCATTTAATGGTCATGTTAAAAATGAAATGTACTAACTATAGCGCTGATAGATTCTCGTACTAGTCACRTGACATGTGTTACGTACCATAGAGAAAACAAAAGGACCCTGATGACGTAGTGGATAGGATGAGGATTGGTTTCTCGAAGAAGTGCGCCAGTGAACCAAAAATCAACGATATAGTGGCCATGAAGCATCCGTACCTAGTGTTACTGGCAAACATAATGAAACACTCCAGTGTGATTTACAAAACACGATGGTTGTTCATTTCTTATGAAGGTTTTACCATATAAGGACACGTAAGGGAATATATAACAAGTATATTTTTGTATACATACGTATATGTATATTTTTATACGTATATATGTACTCCAACAGCGTCCAACCAATAACTTGTTCTGATCAAGGGATTTGCCGAAACAGCAACCATAACCACTCATTCAAGTGCGCGCGTAGTTCTGTTGCAGGCCCGAGGATGGGAGTTATGGCACTAGCCAGGGGTTTTTAGTTGGTCATATTTAGCGAATAGAAATTCTCCTATTCCTGATTGTTGCTTTCTGTCACTGGCAGTTCGCATTACTTTATGTGTTATTCGATTTTCTTGCGCACATTTACCTTTTGAAGAACACGTRGAGGGGAGTACTAAGAATCGTCAAAGCCACTACCTGCAGAAGGAATGACAAGATTGAAAAACTCGTTTTTGGGACAGCTACGTCTGACATCCTAAACGCCTAGGGTTAGAATCGTAGAAAGGGTAGCAAGTTCATATCGTTCAGCACCGATTTGGTGTAGCTTCATTTTGCATGTCTGTTATTAATACAAAAACTAAGGGTTCTTACCATTCCTAAGCATTCTCCGATGGTAAAAACACCCAAACGATAAAGTCTAGATCCAAGAAAACCACCAAACGACCCAACCACTGTACTCACTAGAAGATGAACTGAMAATCAAAAATAGAAATGCCTGTCACTTCATTGTCACTGTCACTGAACATAGCTAGAGGATAACAAGCGCTCTGATTGGTACAAATTATCCAATCACATTCAGTGCTTGTCAGCTAAATTTAACTTACCCCATTCACTTCCTCTTGGTCCACAACAGACCTTTGTTTTGAATATCATTGGACTAACCACGTAGAAGATGAGAAAAGACATTGCAAAGGCGGCAAGGAACATACATGGCTACAATAGAATAGAGAAACCATCAAATATCATATGATATATCAATGATGTCAACTCGATTTTTGCGCGCATTATCGCACATTCGTCCTATTAGCCATTCCGGGGTAGAGTGGCCATGCAGTGCATTTTGGAACTGCTTTATAGGACAAAAGGTGCCATCTTGGAAATATGTTCCCTAAAACAGTCGTAAAATGCACTTTAATATATGCAAACTCGACACAGTTTTTTCCTCAACCTCGGAATGGCTAATAGAGGGAGAACAAGCGCAAAATTGAATAAGCATTAATCTGGTGAGCGATTCCTAGCGATCGCGTAACTAATGCGGTATGGGGCCGAAAAACTCAGTATCCCTTTCTCCAACGTTCTCTCAATACCATGCGTAATGTTTCACATCGGTACATGTATTCGCAAGATGTAGTAATGTGTGTGTATTGCATTATACGAAAAGTGAGGTTATTCGTACCTTGATAAGCCTGTATCCTGCAGCCCACATTACCACACCAGCTAAAGCAAGAAGTTCGACGATTGTGATGCTAACTGGGTGCCTGGAAAGTGAAAAGGAAGAAGCCGTGAACTTGAAGGCGAAGGGATTTAGTAATCTAAGGGACCCTGAATCCATTAAAATTGCTTGAATGGAAGAGAAAAATAATGGAACTTAACCAGTTTTAATCCGCGGTCGGCATGTTATGGAAACATTATCCATAATTGTTACATATGTAATAACTAAACAATAATACTATTTCTTGTCAAGTAAACTAATCTGCTATTTACGAATACATATTGCAAACTTGTACGTCCTACCAAAAGCATCAAAACCTCGTGTTCTTACTTGTCGTAAACTAGTCTGTTGAGGATGTGTTGTGTTGTGTYGTTGGTCATCCTTTCGTAGCTGAAACGTCGTTTCTCTGTCGTCTTCTTCTTCTTCTATATTCTCTTCAAATGTACCTTTTTTATCTTCTGTTTCGCTTCCAACCTCTAAAGACACTTGCGAAAAACCAAGCATTTCATACCAAAAAAGATTAGATATAAAAGACAGAAAATTAGCTTTCAAATAAAGTTGTTATGGTAGATTCATCGTGTTTGCATGGACAGTTTATGATCATTTGGCCACACGCATGGAAGAACATGGAYTGTGGAACAGGTACTTTAGCGTGGGATCATATCTATCAAAGGAACGTGATGGGCGGATACAAACAACAACAAATGATCTTCGATCAATACACAGAGATACGATTAATCTCAATAGATGAATCGTTCACTGAAGAGGTTGGCCAACAAAAAACATGATTGGGACAATATTTAAACTGATAGTCGACCAAATTAATTATTTGTGATCAGCGATGTGTTTCCAAACTAAAGTTATCTAGTMGACATCCTTTATTTAATTCCAGAAGCATTGATTTAGCAGAAAAAATTATTCCAGTGTACAGCAATAAAAGCAATAAAATCTAGTTAAAACAGTTTTGCGGGTCGATCTCTTGGTAACGTAACACTATCGTACCACCCCTCGTTACAAGTGTCCCTTATTTATTTACAAYTACTAAATCAGTGGGTTTCACGTGTCTCCAGTTCTTTTCAGATCTATACTCTGCCTGGCATCACTGAAAGTCGTAGTATAATGTGCTGGCCCGTGTCATGACTACTGTTCATATGTCCCCATCGTATATCAGTTTGTGCCAATGGTATCATGTCATCTCGTTCATTACCGCAAATATTTCCTAATCCTCTGAGCCTTGCCATACTCGTGTACTTGTGTTCTTATCGGTGCTGTATTTAACAACACGTACTGAGGAGTGAGAGGCTCATCATGTTCATCACAGTAATCTGCTTGGTTTCCACCACATGTTTTCACCATTAGTTTGGAGCTGATCTCCTGGCTGGTGTAGACGAACTGGATGTAAAACCCAACCAGAATCATCAAAAGCCATCCTAGATACATTGCTATAGCTTTGAAAATTATAAAAAAAGAAAAAAATGGATGAGACAACAGTACAGCAAACTGACCCCATAACTGCGTGTTGATGCGTGCGATCTGTCTACCCGTCCCGCGACTTTATTCTTTTCATGGTTTCATTCATGCGGGATTCCTGTGGATATGGCGGGGAACTCTCAGATAAAATGCGCGTACGCCTATGTATTTGCAGGAATGTTCGAGTAGTGTTCATAAAAACTGTTGTAGCTAAGAGTAATCTACACGTACTTTTATCAGTGAGTGTTCCTCGCCAGTGAAGATGAAACTCCGAAGGATTGTTGACTGCATTATGAAGTCCACACTTCACCTGGTCCAGCGCGTACATCATCGTTTGCGTGAATGGTGTCTTGGCAAAATAATCTATTTCTTTTTTGTAACAAAAGTATAAGAACACATCAAATAAGAAGAAGATAACTGAGGAAGGAGAGACGGATTTAGGGCAACGAAAAGGAATAACACGGAGAACTGCATCGAGAGGCATAGTATATTGTATCTATAGTATATTCCCTTACCATAAATTACTGCCAAAGAACCAACTACCGATGTAGCGAGTATAACAAATATCTTTTCGAATACAACAGCCATTATACCTATCAGTAGAGCACATCCACCATAGATACCATAATATGCTAAGGGACTGTTCAAAACAAACAAAACCGTATCATTAGAACCTGAAGGCACTCATTGTTATATGGTAATACTTTTAATGACACGACAAGCATTGTTCTGTTTACATGTGAAAATGAACATTGTGGCAGGTCTGGGCAAGTTTGAGAACAAAATCTTTTTTGTTCTTTAGTTTTGACCACCGGCGAAAGGGCATATGACTAACCTACTGACCTATGAAGTATGTTGGTAAGTACAAGAGCTGAACCTGCGACAGCTAAAACCTGAAGCAAAGTTGAAACAGAAAATATAGCATTAGATAACATAACATAA